CTACATTTTTAAGTGTATTTAACACCTTGTCCCATTTAACATTGTCAAAAGATTGTTCTAAATCTACAAATCCCATGTACGCACTCTTTCTTTTTTCTATAGTTTTCTCTATTGTTACCCGTAAAGCTAGAATGGCCTCCCGCGTTCCTCTATTTTTTCTGAAACCAAATTGATCTTCTCCTAATAATTCTTCCGCCCTTTTTTCCATCCTTCTGTGTACAATTCTAGTTAAGATTTTTGACGCATGGGAAGTTAAGCTAATTGTTCTATATTTGTATCTTTTTTATCGTGTTTTTAGTATATATATTTTTGTATATAACTGTATATCATGTAATGTAACGTGTTATTTCTGTGTAACTTCAAATTGTGTTACAAACAGCTTTGGGCCACTTTATTACACCCTTCAGGTAGGTATCAAACATTGGGGAAGTCCAAGTCCCCAACTACGTCACGCCGAACTTTCTCTGGGTACCTCAAGGGTGCATAGCAACTTAGCAACAACAGAAGCATTGAGCAAGGTGTCTGTTTTACTTAGGGGCGTGTTCTACTTTAGTGTAGACAATTTAAGTCTTGGACCAAAGGGAGAGAATATTCACGATCATAACCAAATTCATATTCAACTATACAATTCAACAATTTATATTCATAATCAATTCACATTCAAATTCAGCGTATTAATTCAAATTCAAGTACAAAATTCAATTATCCAAATCAATTCAATCAATTAGTGTAAATAAAGTGTAAAAAGAAAAGCAGTCTTTAATTCGAAGTATATAACCAAAAGAGCCTTCGGCGGGATACCGCCATATACATCATCAACAATCTAATCAACAACACATCAAACAATACATTCGCACCGAATGCCACTCCATTTTAGGATAATAGCAAATAAGTATGGATTCATATTAGTTTTTGACAATTTCAGTGTGTCATGCAGCGACGGTTGCGATCTGCAACAAGAATTCGGTGGATGTTAAGGACTCTACGATGTATATTTCCATGTTTCCGTGCAATGAATGAGCCAAATTGATAGTTGAAAATGGAATAAAGGAAGTTGTGTACCTATCAGATAAATATAAAGACGAAATACCAACAGTTGCATCAAAACTGATATTTGATGCAGCAAAAGTAATATTTAGGTAATACTTATATTACATCCAATATTAGAAATGCTATTATTACGTTAGTACCAGTAAGAAATATTTTATTTTTTTCAGGCGGATTAAACTGAAAAACCCGAAAATTGTGATAAGCTTTTCCGATATCAATGCTGTCAGTATGGATATAGATTATAGAGAAAATATATAACAATACATAGTTGTATTAAACTTTTAGACAATTTATTTGTGGTATTAATTAACTGCTGAACATTAACAATGTTTAATCGATGAAAATACTGACCACATCTGAGGCAAAATACAAAATTAATTTTTTTTTTTTTCTTCATTTAAATAATTCGTACCGTCTATAAACATTCTGGAGCCACTTGCGTTTAGCTTATATCAAAGCAATGTTGTCAACTTCTCTTCAAATACGCAGATTAACCGAAAAATAGCTAGGTTATGTGAATAATATAACGGTTACTGAATTGCTTCGACATTTACATTAAAATGATATTGTAGCGAGCACGAGTGTGTTTGTGTGCGATCGGGAACACGTGTGCGTGAACGGCTTATCGATTTATGTGTGTGTCGTACCTGCGTTCTGGGAAAGCAATTAAACAGTTCAAAGAAAAAAGAAACTATCCGGATGTTTCTAGAAGGTTCCCGAAAGTAAACAAAATAATATTTAAAGGAAGAGACGATCGCCGAGACGAGTAGAAATAAACTGACCGTTGCAGAAGTGAATCCAGAAATAAATTAACAGTGATAGCAGTGAAATAAACAGCGCAGTGAATAGTGATATATCAGCAGTAGTATAAGTAAATAGAATGATTCATAACCTAAGTTTAGTAATAATTATCAGTCTTAGAAGTAAATTTTGTTAAACCCACGAACATTACAATATATTTCAGTAGGTATTTGTAGACCACAGATTGTGATAAAATCATTTTACTATCTTGTAAACCGCTGTGTATTGATGTGGGATATGATATTTCCAAGGGTGCCCTGAGGGGTCAGAGGCAGGAAATTGTATCAACCTTGTAGCTTTTGACAGCGTCCTTGTCAAATCTTATTCATCTTTAAATTCACTGCAGCGCGCGGTTATTAATTTTCCTTTGAAACCAATACGGGTATTGGGTTTGTTAACTATAGACATGCAGAATAAATGAACTGTTAAGTTTAGAAAAATTTTTAATTGTATTTATTGTTACGTAGCAGGTAGTTATTGCTTAATTAAGCTATTGAAAAAAAATGATTACATATTTANCAAGGACTGTACTAAATAAATATATAAATATTGTCTTTGGTTTGTTCAAAAAAAAAAAAAAACGAGATTACCGGTTAATTTGTTAGTTACACCATTTATAACTCTAAAACGACTGGACCGACTTTAATGACCTCTGATTTGTTGGATTAGGTTTGGAATTACGCCATCTTCCTCAATTGACAACTCCCGTCACAGACGCTCACAGCTTATTTGTAATAATTGATGTCCGCTACAAATCAGTGATATACTACACATTATAGAATAAAAATTCAACTTAAAATACGGAGAAAACGGCATATTCAAATATAGAAATATATATAGAATCGAAATGTAAACTAAAATACAGAGAACAAATGTCAGAAACTGTCAAATCGATTGGATTTGCAATGATTGAGCAAATCATTCGGTTAATCAGTCATCAGTACCACGAGATTGTTAACAGAGAATCTATAAATCATTATTACGTTAATAAAATCCGAAATTAATTGTTTAGCTAAAAGTCAACATAACATTAACTGACTGTTAGGCGCTACGAAGTTCGCCGGGTCAGCTAGTTGCTTTATAAATAACTAGCGACCCGCCCCAGATTCACACGGGTGCAATGCTGATAGTAAACATACTGCAGAATGTCTTTATATACAACAATCACAGCTTTTTTGTCATTAGACAATACAAACCGACCCCTCCCCCCCGACCGGTACCGCCGCAACCGCTATGTTCCTGCAGTTTAAATCTATATCTTCGAAAATATTCACTTAAATTACATGTTGTAAAGGGCCTTATTGATTTATATTAAATGCACAATGTATTTGAAAGTACTTAATTAGATAAGGATTAATGCTATATTGCTTAAAATCGCTTTGGAACTAAGCCATTATTTCTCATAAAAAATAAAGGTTAAAAAATGGTTATTGTGGGTTATCCCTAAGAAATAGATATATACCATCCCGGACTTTTTTGTAGACCTTTTTAAGATGTACAATACTGTAGTACATTATTTTGATCTATCTCATAAGTTTCAGCCAGCGTTTGCGATGTA